GCACCTCCATCACTAATTATAGCTCGTGGCATACCAAACTGACTAAAGATGTTTGTTTGAATGAACTCAATCACAACTATGTGATCGGCGGTTTTGGTAGCTATTGCTTCAACCCATTTAGACACGTAGTCTACAGCCACTAGAATATATTCATTTTTATTGGAAAGAACAAAATGACCCATAAAATCAATACCCTAAACATCAAAAACCTCAATAACTAAGATTGGAGTTAAGGGCATCATATTTTTTCTAGAAATTGATCCTAGCTACTGACACTTAAAGCATGACCTACAGAATAAATATGCATCCTGAAAGAGTGAAGGCTAAAAGAAACCGCACTGAAGAATTTTAGCTATAGTTTTCTTTGCACTAAAATGACTTCCACATGCTAAACTGTGACAGAAGGTCAAAATACTATGAAACTCACTCTTAGGAACACATCTACGAATGATTTGATCAGCACAATATTTAAATAGTTGAGGATCTTCCCAATAGACATCCTAATTTGAGAGAAGAATTGATCATTTTCCTGCTTTGACCAAGATAAATGAATTTTGCCTATTGCGAGATAATTCACAATATTAGCAAACCAAGGCAAATCCGACTGAGAAACCCCAAACAGTTGTTCATCCGGGAAGGAATCACAAACTGGAAGTGAAGTTGAGGTATCCTCAATACGAATTCTAGAAAGATGGTCAGCTACAACATTTAATGACCCTTTCTTATCCCGGATCTCATAATCAAACTCTTGAAGCAAGAGGATCCATTGAATCAAACGAGGTTTTGTTTCCTTTTTGGAAAGAAGATGTCACAAAGTAGAATGATTAGAATAGACTATAACTTTGGAACCTAATAAATATGATCTGAATTTATCCAAAGTAAAGACAACTACAAGCAACTCTTTTTCAGTAGTGGTATAATTCAACTGTGCATCTGAAAGAGTTTTACTAGCATAGTAGATAACATGAGGAAGCTTATCCACTCGTTATCCCAAGACAGCACCCATAGCATAATCAGATGCGTCATACATAATCTCAAATGGAAGAGCCCAATCCGGATGATTCATGATAGGAGCTGAAGAAAGAAGAGAGCGAAGCTTATGGAAAATTTCAAGGCATGATTCATCAAAGACAAAAGGAGCGCCCTTTGCAAGTAGATTACACAAAGGACGGGAAATTTTGCTGAAGTCTTTAATGAATCGTCGATAGATACCGGCGTGCCCAAGAAATGATCGCACTCCTCTTATGGAAGTAGGATGAGGCAATTTAGAGATCAAACCTACTTTAGCTCTATCAACTTCAATCCCATTTTTTGAAATGATATGTCCTAAAACAATATCCTCTTGAACCATAAAATGGCTCTTCTCCCAACTAAGAATAAGATTCGTTTCCCTACAACGTTGAAGCACTAGGGAAAGATTTTGGAGACTGTTTTCGAATGTGGACCCGAAAATAGAGAAGTCATCCATAAAGACTTCGAGAAACTTTTCAACCATGTCCAAAAAGATAGACAGCATACACCTCTGGAATGTTGCTGGCGCATTACATAATCCGAAAGGCATCCATCTATATGCAAACGTACCAAATGGACAAGTGAAAGTAGTTTTTTCTTGATCCTTAGGATTAATGACTACCTAATTATAGCCGGAATATCTGTCTAAAAAGCAATAATAGCTCTGGCCAGCCAATTGCTCTAGAATCTGATCAATGAATGGAAGTGAAAAATGATCTTTACTAGTAGCGGAGTTGAGTTTCCAGTAATCAATATGCACACGTTATCCAGTGGTGGTGCGCTGTGGAACTAATTCTCTCTCGGAATTCTCAACTACTGTAATACCTGTCTTTTTAGGTACTACCTGAGTAGGACTCACCCACTTGCTATCTGAGATGGGGTAGATTATTCCCGTATCTAGCAACTTCACAACTTCTTTCAACACCACCTCCTTCATATTAGGATTCAATCTTCGTTGGAGTTCCCGAGATGTTTAGGAATCTTCCTCCAAATGAATCTGATGCATACAAATTGTGGGGCTAATTCATTTCAAATCAGCCACACTCCACCCAATAGCCTCTTTATTTTGCTCAAGAACTTTTAAGAGACTACTTTCTTGGGAACTTGTAAGATTGGAAGCAATGATCACCGGGAGGGTGTCATTTAAACCCAAGAAAGCATACTTGAGCTTTTCCGGTAATGACTTAAGCTCAAGCTTAGGTGGAGACTATAAAGAAAGAATATGCGGAATACTAGAAAGTGGTGGAAGGGAGTCTAACCTAGATTTCCATGGAGGAAAATCTGTGATAGGAGTGGAATTGAGTAAATAATTCACTTCAGCTATTGAAGCATCGATATCGAAATCTTCATAGTTAAAGTGATTCAGATAAGCTTCTAACGGATCCTTGGCCATAATAGTTGGGAGCGATTCCTCAACCAAATCATCAATAACATCAAGGAAGAAGCATTCACTATCATCGTGGGGATGATGAATAGTATTGAAGATGTTTAGCTTGACTATCATATTCCGAAAAGATAAATCCATGGCTCCAGTCCTACAGTTAATGCAAGCATTGGCTGTGGCTAGAAAAGGTTGCCTAAGAATGATTGGAATATACTTTTTGGAATCGTGGACTGGTTCTGTATCAAGAACTAGAAAATCGACAAGAAAATAGAACTTGTCCACTTTTATGAGTACATCTTCAACAATACCTCGTAGTTGTCTGACAGAGCGGTCAGTAAGCTATAGAACAACCGAAGTAGGTTTTAACTCTCCCAAACCTAACTTCTCATACACCGAGTAAGGAATAAGATTAACACTTGCTCCAAGGTCAAGAAGTGCTCGCTCTATCACATTGTTTCCAATGACGCAAGAAATTGTAAGAGCTCCAGGATCTTTAACCTTTAGAGGAGTGTTGTACTTAAGAATAACACTGACATGCTTGGTGAGACAAACTTTTTAAGGAACTTGGTTTTTGGATTTTCTCTTAAGAGTGCACAAGTCCTTTAAAAATTTGGAATAAGCTGGAATTTGCTTTATAGCATCGAGCAGAGGAAGATTGATTTTGACCTGTTTAAAGACCTCCGCATATCTTAAATTTTCTCCCCTTGTTTACCAAAGTGTGAGGGTTCCTTGAGACGTTCAGGATAAGGCACTTTTGGCTCATAAGCTGTCTCAAGGTTAGGAGTAGATGAAGAAGTGACCCCACCTTCAACTCCTCTTGTGGATTGTGGAATAACACTTAAGGAAATATCCTTGGGATGTTGATTATGAATGATAGGAATTATAAGAATCCTAAGCCTTTCTTTTTCCTCTTGTCCTTTTTCAACTTGGTTATCAACCACTCAACCACTCCTCAATGTAGTGATAGCCTAAACTTGTTCATGATGAATGCTTAAGGAATTGGTTTTATCAATCATGTAAGTCTGCCCTTTTAGGCTGGCTATTGGCTGACTAGGCAGCTTTCCATCCTCTCTTCGAGATAGAGTACTCGTTATTTGCCCAACTTGTGCCTCTAGCTTTGCTATGGCTTGAGAATGAGAATTAAGAAGTTGGGTATTGGCTTTCAAATCAACAAAAGCATTAAGTACTTGTCCCTCAAACACAGAATTTCTAGGAGGAAGTGGAAGATTAGGAGCTTGAGTGGGTTAATTCCTAAACTAAGGTGAACGTAAATACCAGATTGTTTGAAAGAATTATTTTGTGGCAAAGGATTTGATGAATTTTGATACTGCCCCTGAGATTGGGGAGCAATGTTTCCATGATTTGGATTACGCCATGACAGATTATGATGATCTCTTCAGCCAGGATTATATATAGAAGAATATGGATTATAAGCTGGCCTAGAGAATGCAACATTCACTTGCTCCTATGGGATCTTAGATGATTGTCCCAGCATAGGGCAAGCATCAGCAAAATGGTTTGGATTAATACAGATGGAACAAACTTCCTTGGGTAAGGCAGTTTATGGATTAGCAACAAGAGCGAAGCCAGATGATAAAATTTGATCGAACCTACAGTTCAAGGCTTCTATTTAAGCGGCTAACTCACTAGATTTATCTACCTCGTAAAGTTTTTCAACCTTATGCATTCCAGGTGAAGACCTAAACCTAGAGGAAGAAGCATGTTGCACTGAGTTTTCACTTAGGGCCTCAAACAGTTCCCAAGCGTTAGCTGGACTCTTTCGTAGAAAAGCTCCATTGCTAGAAGCATCGATCATATTTTTATAAAAATCAGTAAGACTATCATAAAAGATCTGTATTAAGTGCCATTGAGTAATATCATGGTGTGGACACTTTCTCAGAAGATCATTATATCTCTCCCATGCATCATGAAGCTATTCTCCCGGGATTTGGGAAAATGCCATGATTTTTCTTCTTATTTATGTGGTTTTACCCATAGTGTAAAATTTCTTCAAGAACTCCTGTTGCAACATGTCCCATGTAGATATAGAATTTGTTGGAAGGGACTGCAACCAAGTTCTTGCTTTGTCCTTGAGAGAAAACTGGAAAAAACGCATTCTGAATGAATCATTGGTTAGAGTGGTCAACTTGGTAGTTGAACACAATTCCAAAAACACATCCAAATGTTTATAAGGATCCTCTGTTGCATACCCATGAAAGGTAGGAAGCATTTGGATCATAGTAGGCTTGATCTCAAAATGGATCGCATTAGCATCCGAAAAAACAAAGCATGAAGGAGAAGTGTATGTTGTAGGAATAAAATGGTCCCTCAATTATGGCTGTAGAGGGACAGGTGGAACCTGTTCTCCATTCCCATTACCATTATTACCCGGTGCATTACGTTATTCAGCCATATTATCAGAAGAACTTCCTATTGAATTTAGATGTTTTTTAAGCTTTCTTAATTGTCTAAGAGTTCTCTCTATTTCAAGATCATGCACTAAAGGTGTTGTCCGATTATGGCGAGTTAACATGCACTGATTTCACTAATCCTAACAGTAGCAAAAATAAAATATTCCAAGCAATAGAAAACAATAAGAACTCACAAAAAGGTTAAATAAACCGAAGCTTTTTCTCCCTTAAGCGTTTTTGTCCTCACTGCTAACTTGTTCCTGAAAAGAAAAAGAAGTAAGGTGAGATATCAGAGAGTTCGAAGACTGGTAAACAAAAATAACTAATTAAAAACTAAAATAAAAACTAATCTCCTCGGCAACGGCACCAAAAATTGTTGTATAACTTTACTCACAATAGAACGATTCCGTGCAGAATAGTGCTATAAAAAGAGATGTCGAACCCACAGGGAGAAAAGATTTGTATTTTAGTCTTTAACTTTATTCTCTGGTTTATAGGTAACTTGGTTGGAAAGTTTGTTGGTTGTCACAGTTTAACAAACTAGAATTAAAAATAAAATATCAAATAACAGTAAAGTAAATAAATTGAGTGATCAGAGAGAGAGAGAGGGGAATCTTAGGGCTTTGACTTCATCAGAACCATCATACTACAGTTAATTATACTAACTCTGGGAATTTAACAATGAGATTTTCCAAATGAATTGAACTCAATAACATTCATTCAATTCGAGTTTTAAAGAAAGATATTTTACAAATTTAGCTAACTATAACCTATTTGCGGTTAGCGTGGATTGTCCGCCTAACTACTCTAACTACTTTAATTACGTTAACTATGTTGCAAACAATCCGCCTTTCCTAAGCATTGACTATGAAAACATTCTTTTGCAAAATACGTTGGAATATCATTATATGACCCCTATTCTTGTGTCCAGCAGGGCTACGCCAGATACCGTACAACAAGGTAAGTTAATAATAGAAAATAGACTATTACATCTAAGACAATGTAGTAACAGTTTATAATCTATTAAAGCATGAAAACCACTTGAGTTGTCTCAAGCGCTCATAGTCATATAATCAAGAAAATACATATATATTAAAATTAATCTCAGAGTTAAAACAATCAAACCATAGTATTTAGGTTAGGTTACATCAGTGCCCTAAGAGAGGAATTAGCTACTCATGACAAGGTTGGATATCATCTGTGTTGAGTTCATCTCCTTCGTCACGAACGACACTTTTCTTCTCAGTATTTTCACTTCTAAGGTTGTAGAAACCCTAAAAGCCACCACACCTTCAGCCTTCTGAAAACACCGGCAAAGAGATTGAAATTTCGGACCCCTTCTATCAAGGCTTACGCCTTCTTTTATAGAAGAAAATAATATTTGATGGGTTTTTAGGTCTTTTGGCCCAACTGGGATGAGATACGGTTGATAAAGAGAGCAATCTCGTACTTTAAATGTGACATGTCATGGAAGGCTGAAGCTTCAGGAACACAGGCTCAAGCTTTAAGGTGCAGGCTCGAGCTTCAGGAACAAGGCTCGAGCCTCTCTGAATAGATGCTCGAGCTTCAATGAATGATGTTTAATATTCACTTTGACACTTAGCCAATTTCCTTCAACTATTTTCTGAAGCGTCTTTTTCTTCAACGCTTAGAATATTTATGGGATTGGATTCTTTTAACATTGCTTGATCCAAACTTTTTGGGCTCGAGCACTAGGTACAAGGCTCGAGCATTTGGGACACCTGGCTTGAGTTTTAGGACACCTGGCTTGAGTTTTAGGACACTAGGCTAGAGCTTCAGTTGTTAGTGCTCGATCCTTAATGGATGGTGCTCGATCCTGGAGGTGAAGCACGAGACCTGGGAGCATAGCCTTGCAATTAAATCAACTCTTTAATTTTTGACACCTCATACTCGAGCTTGAGGGTCAAGGCTCGAGCACCTTGGTTAAGGCTCGAGCACTTTATGGTAAGGCTCGAGCTTCAAGGTACGAGGCTTGAGCTTTTGGGCCTTGTTGACTTTTCTTCTGTCTTTGTTGTGATGCTCGAGCCTCAACACTTGGGCTCGAGCTCTAAGGCTTGAATATCTTCAAACTTCACCATTTAAGCTCTCGGCTTGCTCTGAATGACCAGCAACGACTCTGTAAGGTTCGATATCATCATTAAGTCTCGGTTTTAACTATTTCTCTGGGAAAGTACCTACAAATACACATTAAACATAAATTAGTCTAACTATGGATAGAAGTATCACTTTAAGCCTTAACAGATATGTATTTAGGGGCTCGATTATGCATATATTCAGTGCTCATCAATATCCCACGCCAGTCTCCGATAACAATTTCTTAAACTAGATATAAATTTTCCTCAATTGGTTAAACTTATTCCGAAGTTGGGTTTTGTCAAGTTTTCTCCCTATTTGAACCTTCATTCTTTCTACCATATTATTCCAACCAATTGTATTAAATGTTGTGGCAGTACGATTACCAACCCTAACTTGTTCCTTCATAAGATTAATGAATTTTTCAATGAGTGAGTCATTCCATAACAATTTTCCATCCTTCGTAACTTCAGCCACCCCTTCTCCTTCAATTGTAAAATAATCACCACATTGTTCCACATTCTCAACATTCATATCCATTTGACAGATCAATAACAACACTATAATTAATAACAACAAAAATAATATATATTATTTCAATAACTCAAGACAACACAAAAGGCAATAGTGAACCATCCAATGACATTATTTTTTGATACCAACTCCTATTCACATGATTAACGAAGAATCAACATGCTTTCAACAGTAAACTCATTTCCTCATATCAAGTCCATGTGCATGCTCAAATCAATAGACACTTCCAGAAAAAAGCTTTGTTTATATTATGCAGTCCAGAAGAAAATATCAGGCTTAACACCCAAAAATGAGTTAACCATGTTTAAGCTTTCTGTAATTTTATCAGCGTAGGTAGAATAGTGTATTTACTCTTACCTTTTCCTTCACCAAACACTATTAGTATAAAGCCACTCTTAATCCCATTCTCTCAGTTTTGAGCCACTACCATCTCTCAACTGAGATTTTTTAGCACTCACTCCCCGTAAATTAACCAAGAAGTTATTGTTCTCCTACTCTTTTGTTTAACAACATCAGTCAAAACGCATTTCAATTAATAGTTATTCATATTTTTATCAACAGTCAATTTAAGGGTAAGATACAACGAAAAACACAACATTACAACTATTAAAAAAAAGAAGCTCTGTTGAGCAATAAACCGAACAGAACTCATTGATTCCAGATGAAAAAACATTCATAAACTGAAAAACACAAACTCAATTCTCAACTCTATCCTTAGAAGTAAATAAGATCACTTAATCCAAATTCCAAAATGAATGAACATTCTTCCGTTAAACAATAAGAAAACCAATCTTCATCACTAAAGAAATTGAACTGAATGAAACCCATTAATTCCAGATTACTAAAACTTCATATAGAGAAACCTACAAACCCAGTCTTGAATTTTATGTATACTATTAAATCACATCAAAAAGAAACCTTTCTGATGATAAACATCTTTAGAGCGGATTCGATAGATAAAATAAAATAAAGTCCCATCATTTTCTAGGGTCTGTTGAATCACAATCAAGAATGATTAACATTTAAATCATATAATATTCCTCTAATCTGTCGATTTTGAACGACAAAAGTCGAAGAAATCAGTCAAAAACATGAATATAGAAGGTGTACATGAAAATAAAACTCTAAAATTGAAAATTCAAAAAACAGTGTATTTCTGAAAGTTTTTTTTTTTTTTTTTTTTTTGAAAGGTATTTCTGAAAGTTCTCAAGGCATTAGTTTCTAAAAAAATTCAAAGAACTTTCAATAAAACTCCAAAATCAAACACCGTCTGAGGATTTCCAACCACAAACCTTAAATAACAACTCAAAAACAGCCATAATATTGCATTTATTCAAAGAAACTCAATTTAAATGGGTTAAACCTGGCCTAGTCTTCGAAGATAAGAGGAAAATAGCAAAGATCGTTGAAGGTTTTGAGCGAAAATACTATTGTGAGCTTCGATCGGTAGCCAAACAATTATAAATAGCCGAGTCGTCCAAAATCGCTAGAGAGAAGCTGCACGTATAAAACCCTAAAAAATGACCAATTTTGTCTTTTATACGTGTTATACATGTTTCTTCCGATACTGTTTAATGTAGCGAATTGTTTCCTTCGCTACAGTAATATATAGCCCAAACAGTACCGAAGCAACAAAAAAACACCAAAATGGTGTTTCATATTTTGGGCCCTTTTTTGACATTGTTTTACAACTGTTTAAAACACAACAAGCTCAGCCAAACATGTATTGGGCTTGAAATGAGCTATTGTAGCAGGTCTGTAACAAAAACAGGTAAAACAAAATAGATGTCAAACAGCCTCTTACAAGCATATCACACCCTTTACATACAAAAAACACCCATAAAGTTTCAATTTGGTGCAAATAGATTCATCTGACAAATTTAAATCCTAAGTTGACTAAATTATCCTTACTAAACCATTTTATAAAATATCTAAAAATAAATAATTTTGTAAAATGATTGAAAATGACACTATTGGATGACACCTCTCACGTTTAAAAAATAACCCTAAAGTTTTAATTTGGTGCAAATAGTTACAAAGTTAACCTAAGTTGACTAAATTACCCTTACTGAACCATTTTATAAAAAATATATAAATAAATAATTTTGTAAAATGACCGAAAAGGACACTATTAGAGGATACCGGCAATGGACAAGTAAAGATAAAAATAGACAAAAAAAAAAAAAAAACGAAAATAAAGTGTAAACTAAATAAAATAAATCTGCTCCAAACTACGAAAACTATTGCACACTGATATTGTGATTCCCCCCCCCCCCCCCCCCCTTTTTTTGTTTAACAATATTAGTGTGAAAAAAAAAAATTTAATAGAAAACAGTAAACTGAAATCTCAAAAAATTCAAATCCTTGTTCTACAAATTCTCAAAGTTTCAAAAAAAAAGTTTAGAGATATATATAGAGAAAAAAGTTTCAAATATATATATAAGGTGAAATAAATAGGAAAAAAATTTAGTAGAAAACAGTAAGCTGAAATCTCAAAAAATTCAAATCCTTATTCTATAAATTCTCAAAGTTTAAAAAAAAAAAAAAAAAAAAAAAAAAAAAAAAAAAAAAAAAAAAGTTTAGAGATATATATAAAGAAAAAAGTTTCAAATATATATATATATATATATATATATATATATATATATATATATATAAAAGGTAATGTGCACATAATACCCATATATTATGATATTAGTAGGCATATATACCTCCTTGGACATTTTCGGAAGAATAAAAGGGCAAAACGGGTATTACATCACTAATTTATGTCAGAATTCTGATTGCCTGGTTTTTTTGCACAGTGTGAAAAGATTAGTGGTGTTTTTTGCACACTTTTTCAAATACAAGGTAAAGTGTTACGCAGAGTATACTTTAGGGGTGTTTTCTGCACTTGTTCGGGATTTAAATGCTATTATGCACCTATATGAAAAGAAAGACAGTTTCGATGGTGGAATATAGGATACTCAGAAACTTCAAGGAGGGATCTTAAAATGTAATCTCATGGATTTGGGCTATAAAGAAATTCATTTTACTTGGTCCAATAATAGAGGAATTGGTAAGACCTATAAAGGCTAAGTTTTTTAGAGCACTCATGAATGCCAGGAGTTGTTTAGGGCCAAAATGAACACAACAATGGGAACCAACTTTGTAAGGAAGGGTACTATGTGTTTGTTATTGTCTTGGTTTACACAAACGACTGAATAGTTCAAGATATCACGTTCACTGGTTAGTTAGTAAATCCGATAGCAATACACTAGGGAAGGTTCAAGGCGAAAAGCTACCTATCCCGATGCAGTAACTTTCTGACTATACTCTCTCTAGTGTCTGCATAATCATCTTTGGCATTTAAGCAGCCAAATTCCATTCATGTAGGGGATTGTTGGTACTAGTTATGAAAACTAGTGTTTCAAGTGTGAATGAAATATGTCTGTAACTAATTTATAGTTGGGTGCCTATATGTATCACGTTAGACTAAAACGTGAATATCTTAGTGTAAATGTTGCATGCAAAATCCAAAACTTAGGTTATTTAACATAACCTCTACCGATTCTTTACCATATTCTTAATGTTTAATGTGGTTAAGGATTGGTTAGAAACGGTTAATAAACTGTAAGGATGCATTGGATTACAATACATATGTGAATGGGTGTGTTGGTTGAAAAGGTACGATCGAACAAACATAACCTATTAAAGTGGATGTGTCTAGTGGTGAATAGATAAAGTGTGAACCATTGCAACCTATTGCAGTGGATGTGTCTAGTGGTGAACAAACACCGTGTGAACCATTGCAACCTATTGGAGTGGATGTGTCTAGTAGTGAACAGATACCATGTGAACCATTGTAACCAATTGGAGTGGTTGTGTTTGGTAATGAAGAGACACATATAAATGGTTGTGTCAAGTGATGAAGAGACACATACAAATGGTTGTGTCCAGTAATGAAGAGACACATATAAATGGTTTTGTCCAATAATGAATATACACATCCAATCTGAAAAAGCACTTCTATTTCTATAAATACCCCCTTGGGTTGCCATTTGCAATTCGTTCAATTCATTTTTCTTCTCTCTCCCTCTCTAGACTTGAACCCAACCCAAGTGAGTTCAAACCATAGGTTAAGTGGTCCGAGTCACTTAAACCCTAATCCAATTTCATTGAGCCATATTAAGATTGATCCAAACCATTTGTTTCGAATTGCACCAAATTCAACATTTATATAGTATAGATGCATTTTTGAGTCAAAAAGTGTATTACATGCAGGAGGTTCGCCGTATCCATGAGTTTGTAGTGCTGCTACTGGTGGATGTAAACCGTTGTATCTTGGAAGACAAGCGTCACAGAGTCCGTCAGCACTAGTCTCGGTCCAGGTTCTTTATTTTTTTTTTATTATTTTATTACTTTAATTTGCATGTTTAATTAAATATCGAGTTTCATATTTAATTAATTATTTTTTAGCATATTATTAATTATCTCATGGCGTGCTAGTATAATGTTAGTTATATCTTAAATGTCGTTTGAAGCACAAATATTTTCCAATAATTACAAACCTTCAAAAGTGTTTAGGGGTATTTTGATTGTAAAATATGCTAAGGAATATATATGATTGCAAGTCTTAAAAAGTGTTTAGGGGTATTTTGAATCCTATGAATTGTGAACAGTAAAAATTGTCATATTGGTAATTACTTTTACATGACCTGTTTTTTTATGGAGTTATTTTTTAGTGTTTACATTCTGGTAATTATGTTTGGAACCAATTATTTTGGGATTTGGAAAAGGAATAGGAATTGGAATTAAAATGAAATTCCATTTATATGTTTGGAACAAATTAGATTTAAAGTTGGATTTAAAATGGAATTTGGAATTAAAATAATATTATACCATTTTTTCCATTGTTTAAATGATAAATGAAATATTTATTTTATTATAAAATATACTCCAAAATTACATCAAATAGACAAACAATTGGAAGGACTCCATGATAGAGCTGAAACATAAAATTTATTTAACAAGTCAATTAAAAAAAATTATTATTTATTTATTTAAAAAAACAACTAATTTATTCAACCACCATCACCAACATACTTAAACCAACATATTTAAAAACAGAATACTAAAATGTAAACTTAAGCCTATGCATTTATTTAATTAATATTTTAAACAAGTTCATTTATTAAATACTAAGCGCCACTTATTAAAGTATATTAATTACTTTATAAATAAAAAAAACGTATATTAACAAAAGTTTATATAAATATACATTGATAACTGAGTATCAATTACTAGTAATTTAAAAGTATGCCACTTAGAAATTGATACACAACAATTTATACACTAAAAAACTAACAAGTATATTAATTGATAATTATACTTTCACTTATAGATTAAATTTTTAGTTATTAATATATTTATTGGTTTTTTTTATATAAAGGGGTTTGTGAACTTGCATTATAAGCTTATAAAAACGTAATCTTTATTCATTCAATCGGTGTAAATATAAGTTTTGTTGCACATAAACGGTGTGAATTGTAAAGGATTGGATTACACGACTTTCGTTAAAAAATTGATGGTGGATCAATCTCTATAATGCGTTTGAGATATTGGAGAACATCAAACAAAAAAAATGATGATATTTGATTACTAACTTCTATATGCTTCTGCTTTCTGCTCAGAGATACAAGATATATATAATGAGCCCATTTGGAATTGCTTCTCTACCGCTTAAAAACGCTTTGGTAACTATTATAAGTGTTTTGAATGGTTACCAAATTTCGTTTGAATTAACCTAGAATTTGGAACTTTTAAAACTGCGTTGTGAGTAGAGATTGAATATTTTAATTACCAATTATTTTGAGATTTGGAAATGGAATAGGAATTGTAATTAAAATGAAATTCCATTTATATGTTTGGAACAAATTAGATTTAAAGTTGGATTTAAATGGAATTTGGAATTAAAATAATATTATACCATTTTTGTCATTGTTTAAATGATAAATGAAATATTTATTTTATTTTAAAATATACTCCAAAATTACATCAAATAGACAAACAACAGGAAGGACTACATGATAGAGCTGAAACATAAAATTTATTTAACAAGTCAATTAAAAAAATATTATTTATTTATTTTATAAAAAAAACTAATTTATTCAACCACCATCACCAACATATTTAAAAAAAGAATACTAAAATGTAAACTTAAGCCTATGCATTTATTTAATTAATATTTTAAACAAGTTCATTTATTGAATACTAAGCGCCACTTATTAAAGTATATTAATTACTTTGTAAAAAAAAATATATGTATATTAACAAAAGTTTATATAAATATACATTGATAACTAAGTATCAATTACTAGTAATTTAAAAGTATGCCACTTAGAAATTGATACACAACAATTTATACACTAAAAAATTAACAAGTATATTAATTGATAATTATACTTTCACTTATAGATTAAATTTTTAATTATTAATATATTTATTGGTTTTTTATATAAAGGGGTTTATGAACTTGCATTATAAGCTTATAAAAATGTAATCTTTATTCATTCAATCGGTGTAAATATAAGTTTTGTTGCACATAAACGGTGTGAATTGTAAAGGATTGGATTGCACGGCTTTCATTATAAAATTGAATGCGTTTGAGATATTGGAGAATATCAAACAAAAAAAAAATGATGATATTTGATTACTAACTTTTATATGCTTCTGCTCCTTGCTCAGAGATACAAGATATATATAATGAGCCCATTTGGGATTGCTTCTCTACCGCTTAAAAACGCTTTGGTAACTATTACAAGTGTTTTGAATGGTTACCAAATTTTGTTTGAATTAACCTAGAATTTGGAAATTTTAAAACTGCTGAGTAGAGATTGAATATTTTAAGTAACTATTTTTTTATTAGACATTTTTGTCATTCTAATTTTTTATGATGATAATTACGCCCCTCCCTTAATAAAGTTGCTATTATCAAATATAGTAACATCATATTAAAGGATATTATTGAAAAATTAGCAATAGAATTTTTTTAAAAAAAATTTGTTACCAAATAAATTAAAAAATAATTTAATTGTAAAAAGTACTTATTACATTGGGTCACCAAACACCTAATATGCTTACTTTTTTTTATTCCAACAACAACAATGATATTTGAAAGAGTAAATTGGAATTAGTTAAATAACTTTGAAGATTTTGATCTACACTAAGTTAATTACGGAAATATCATCATTAAACGATATTTATCTTTCAAATCTTCTTTAGATGGATTTAAAACAGTATTTAAAATCTCATCATTTTTAAATCCGTAAATCTTGTTTCCAAATCCAAATCACATCAAATCCAACATTCTACAGTAAAATGTTTTATATTAATTAACCCATATTTTTTATATAGAATTTATATGATGAGGTCACTTACCTACTATGTCATGCAATATAGATGTCAGGAGCTCGAGTCTCTTTATTGCACAATAAAATAATTAATTAATTAATTATTAGCAAAATTTATTAATCTTATAAAAAGTAAATAGACCTTATTAATGTTGAATATTAATACTAATGATAATTAAACTTGGCATTCTGGATTGTGTAAGCTGTAATAAATTCAAAATAAGAAGTTGACGATTCAAGGCAATTTGAGTGTATGGATATGTCTAATAAATTTTTAAAATTTTTCGTGCAATTTATGTAAGAAAACATTAGGAAAAAAAAAAAAAAAAAGAAAAAACAAAAGAAAAAAGAAGAAGAAGAGATTCATAGCGTCAAGAAAAGAAATAACAAAAAAGAAATTGATTGTAAGAGCTTATTCAGAAGAAAAGTCTCCAGTGAGCTGTGCCTCACGACAATTGTAATAATTTTACTTTAAATTAACATATTTGAGTATAAAAATTTTGCCCACCAATCATATCATCATGTTTTTCTTGAATTTACATGATCATTTATTATAAATAATTTTGAAACATTTTAAAATAAAATTATACGAAGGAGTCTAATGCAACGATTCAATTTGGTCAAAAAATAGAGAGTATAAAAGTTTGAGTAAAGCTTATGATATACTATAAATTATTTTTGATACAAAATTTTGATTGTATATATATACTATTCTCTTTCAAATGATCAAGTCCATGCCTCAAAATTTAAGTAAAACAGACAAAGCTCATGGTTGCTATAATGAGTTGCACCTCATTATAGCTTTACTCTATTCAGAATTGCATTACATGCATATGGTCACATTCACCCTTTGTTACCAATAATTACTTATGGAATTTTATTTTATTTTTTTAATTTTTTTTTAATTTGGTTTTCTAAAGTTACAGTGACCCAACAACACTATGCTTTTCTCAACAATTGTATTTGGATGGTCGAGTTTAGAGAAGGGTTGGTAACTCTTTAAAGCTAGCTTTTAATAGTTACTAATTTTAGTAAAGTTGAAATGGAAGTTTATAAAACTGGATGAATATTTTAGGTATTTTTTTTTTTTCTTAGTCTATTTTTTCTTTTTTTTATTTTTTTATAAAGACAATTACACTCTTTCATTTATAAAGTTGCTATTATCAAATATGGTAACATCCTATTAGAGGATATTATAAAAAAATTAACAATGAAAGTAATTTAAATAGTATTGTTCAAAACAAATTAAAAATAATTTAATTATGAAAAGTACTCGTTATAATGTGACAGCAAAATTCTTTTAATTGTTATAGCAATCTCGCCTTAATGGATTTCCATAGAGAAAGAAGTTCCAAAAAAATAATATCACCAAACTAAAATGATATATACTGTAGAAGGTCATAAATATTTAGCATAGAGAGCGATCTAATTTTTAATACAATTTTATACACCATAATTCACATACTCAAAAATCCAATCATTATAGCTATTACTCCAAGCTTTTATCATTAATATACCAAGCAATTACACAATAACAATATTATAGTATCTTTATGTTTTATCTGCTAACAACAATTTCAAAACAAAATAATAATAATAACAATAATAATAATAATAATAATAAGATTTCCCCATCCATCATATTATAAATATTTGACAGGTTCTGATATTTCTTTCAACTAAAATTAGGATAATGAAACGGATAAATTAATAGCAGGGTTTACACCTTGAAACACCAGCCAGGTTCAGGAAGAAGTCACACACACACACACACACACATATATATAAATCAACAGCTCCAACGCAATGAAGTGATCACTTATGTGTTATCAAATAATCTTCAAATACAACTTTATTTGGTTAAACCCTGCCGCATCAGAATTCACAGGGAAAAGTTTTGCCAATCAATTATGGATGGACATTGGTTACATGATTTAGAGTAAGAAGCAGAAAATCACAACAGTTGTATAATTAGAGTAAATCACAACATATTATTCAGTGATAAAGCATATATTAATTTTACTATGGGGACTACTATGCTATATGACCTCTTCTCCTCTCATCCAAAGGTAAATTTATTAGTAACATACAAAATTTATACCTTCTGAGAAGAAATAGATGGAAACTTGTTATTATTTTATACCGTTCGACAGTTCACAAATGGAACAACAATAAACAGTTCTCATCTTTCAATTATTTGGTGCCAATGCAGTGCTCATATCCTGTCATTGGCCACAATTTCGACAAAGCAGATGGTTCAATTTTTCACCCTTCCATCATATTCATACCACCTTAAGGACAGCTATCCACAAGCTCGTTTATGCTGCCTAACATTTCACTAATTGTACTTCTTGTAGGTAATTCCGCTGTGTCATGTTTAATGCCGCCAAACATTTACACAGCTGGTCCCCAAGCCCGGGAAAAAGGAGGAGGGTTGCATTAGGTAGCTTGACAGTTAATATTGTTACTAACATTTAGATTTTACTGCACATCATGAGGGGGAAAAAGTTAAACTGTTTATTCTTGACATGAAACTAACATTTAGCCACATCACGAGGTAAGAAGGCACTGCAAAAAAAGGAAGTAATGTAACAATGTATCATCCGTTAAGCTGCAAATCAGTTAAATTTATGTTCAGGATGACAAAGAATTATGCGGTTCCAGTGGCACCGCACCTAATACAAAATAAAGATCATAACATTCCTAGTGTAAATTTTTTCCCCGAGGATTGACATCAAATTATGTTGCAATGCAGAAACTTTCTGTAACAACTGTTACCTGTGTGATGAGGGTGCTAATCATATTTACCTCAGAATGTGGAAACACAATGAGCAGCAAAAACTATAATAACTGTTGCAAATGATTTATGAGAGACTCTCGATTCATAGTTGTATTCCTCTTGAGACAAAATGGCAGCCGAGAGCTAAATGCATAAAATGAAAATCATTCCCCATTCACTGATAAGATGGGGACTGATCAGAGGTTGGGAACCTTCCGTTTACTGTCTCAGCAAGCTCTGCTGCATTATTATCCAGGACTCATCTAATTATGTTGACTAAGAAGAATTCCATTTAATAATTAAAGACTGGATTCTTTACTGAAAACACCTTCCCATTTAACAATTATAACATGCTTTACACATTTGGTCAACAATATTTCTCCAATTAGAGCTATAATCCATTTAAACCCCAGGAGTTTCCTTGATGACCGCTTTATCAACATCTCTCACCACTGTTTCTCACTATTCTAATGATGCAAGAAACCAATATATTCTGTGGGAGCATGACTCAATCATTAAATAGTATCATTATGAATACGGCTAAACTCTCTTACTCACTTGCGTTTCCAACTTACTAAATCTAACATCTTAATGGTGTCTTCTTCTTCACTTGGCTCCTTTAAAAATAAAGGCACATTATCAATGAATGCCAACTCTTAGATGTCATAGTGTCAACTGTGACTGCACGTTTGAATTTAACATTCTTTTAGTTTCATAATGTTTTGCCAAAAATGATACATGTGTTACTTCACGACCTTTTTTTGTTAGTTTTAAGTTTGAAAATCAAAGGAAGGCGAACACCTTCAAAATTTCAATGAACAAACAATCAAGATCATGTGGGAATCAAAACTAGACAACCAAGCAGAATAGAACCATATATCTTCATGAGGAAAAAATGTTAATCATAGTTGCAATCAACCATAAAACAAACGGCATTGCAATAGATCCAACTGTTTCTAACAATCAACGAATCCCAAAATTGATAGCATGAGTCATAAATAATACTATGCTTCCCGTTCAAATTAATAGTGGAAATATTAGGAACAGAAAAGATACTGCCAACAACTTACAAGTAATAATGAAATACAAGATTGACATATACTATAACTTAAAAAGTGCACAAAAGAATCAAAATGTGAAAAGGACTTCTCAAACTCAATTTGAAGCTAATCATTTTCATGTGCCATCAAGAAGACGATACCTTGACAGCTTTAAACGCAGGGTGAAGCAACCCAAGCTCGTCTTGGACGTCAAGAGGATTGCCTGTCTCATTTCTTACTCTCTTGACTCGCCGACTTCCAAGGGACTTATGCATAAACCCATACATCTGCAGAATCTGATTGTCCCCAAAATTGAAGGCACGATCCATCTGCCTCAAGCACCTCTCCACCGGATAATCCCCGAACTTCCCACACGGTTTGCAACCCACAAAGTGGGTCACTAGCGGCCACCGGTGATCACCAAGACCGGGATGGAAGTTCTCAATCATCTCCTCATACCTATCCACCAAAATCCCCCAATAACCATGCAAATAGTAAGCACTCTCAAGATACACCTTTTCACCCCACTTATCCCTCTGTGTCACCAATAGATAAACCATAGCAGACTGATCATCTGCTTCGAAAACAGGCCTGTTCTTCAACTCCCTAGTAAGTACCTTACCAGCTTCATCCCTAACTTTTCCTTTGGGTCCCATGGGAGCCCAAGCATCAAGAAGATCCAATGCCCACTGACCATTCCTCAACAAGAAACTCCCAGTATTCAATCCAATCCAATTCTTCTCATCATACACCATCTCATTCCAACCGTGCATCACAAGATTAGAATCCTTATACCTCTCCCAAGGTAACTCAAAAGCCATGTCTGTAAACATAGCATCACTATCCATCCACCATAGAAATTCCACCTCCGGGTGTGACAACAAGAGCTTGCGAATCAATGGAAGCTTCGCCCAAAACCCTGCCATCTCTGCATCAAGAAGAGCCATATTGTAAAAGATTTCAATGCCGTGAAGCCGACAATAGTCGATCTTATTCTTAATCGACTTCAACAAGTAATGATCCCCCACCGGATTCTCACACGGCTTCGGCGAAGACCCAGTAACCAGAAGAACCCTAGGCTTATTGGGTCCAATGAAGTTCGGAAAACTAGGGTTTCGCTTGAGCCAATCAGCTCGCTGTTCGTCCCAATCGGAGATCTTGGGGCCGAGACTGTACGGCTTATTCGGATCTGGCTTTTCGTCTTCACCTTCATGCACCAATATCTTATTGATGTCAAATGTTGCATAATTGTTGTCCGCGTTTGACTCTCCTCCTCCGGTGGTTGTTGCAGTGGTGGTGGTGGTGGTGGTTTGGACCTCCTCCAGAACACGGCGAGGCTCAACGCGCTTGTGAGAAGCGTAGAAGTGGTCGCGGATCTCGTTGAAGTCTTGCTGTGGCGTGCCGAACTTTCCGGCGCCGAGGTTCCCGCGGAGGACGATGACCGTCATGCAAAAGCAGAGGAGCGTGATCTTGCCGCTGCGGATGAATCGCCGGAATTGCCAACTCCGACGAGCTCCGAGACACCGATCAAGCATCTTTGAGTCGCACCGTGAGCTGAATCTGAGACGCTGAGATTGATATTGATGAGAGTTGAGGGATTTTAGGGTCGTGAGAACGGAAATTGAGAATCGGAGAATGAATTGAATTGACTAAAACTCCGTATTACTGGATTGGATTTGGATTTAATCAACGAATTCGAATCCTAAAGATGGAGAAAATTAGGGTTCTGTTCGTTCTGTGCGCAATGAGGGTCTCCGGCCAGTGTCGGTAGAGAGAATTGGCACTGCAAGAGGTAGATCCAGAGAGGGAGAGAGAGGGGAGAGAAAGTTCCGACAATTTATTACAATACAAAGTATGTATTTATATACCTCGCGTAATCATGTGAAGCAATACTCGCATGTTTTGATAAAAAGGTCATTAATCATTATATATATATTATTTTTGTCACAATATCAATTTTTTTTTTTTTTTTTATATTTTATTTTAGTTAAGTAAATTTTTATTTTATTTTAGTTAAGTAATTCAAATAATAAATTTAAAATAAGAAAATGATTCTTGAATTGTTGTAGTTAATTGTTAGACATACTCTTTTAATTGATCAATTATGCAACAAAAAAGGAAATGAAGCGTAGTTGTATTTGGTATGAATAGCCAATTAAAAATTATTCGATTAAATAATTCGCTGCAAGTGTTGTTGTATTTGATATAAATAATTAATTAAAAATTATTGGGTTAGATAATTTACTGGAAGTATTAGGTGAGTATTACTACTCTTTAAAATACTAAAATTTAATAGAGGGTTGACTAATTTTGTTTTATGTTGGGTTGAATGTAGAGAAGAGTGATGAACGAGACATTTAAGGAAGAGATTATGTATTTCCTTCTTTTATTTGGTTGAAAAAAAAAAAAAGTTTCACAATTTATGATGTTTCTTTATGAGAGAAGGAAATATAAAATTTTAAATTGTTTTTATCATTATGTTCAGTAATATCTATAATATTATAATTTATAAATGATAGTATTATAATTTATAAATAATAGTTGATATTTAATTTAAATTTTTTATAATAGTCCAATTTTTTTCTCTCCGGAGCAAATGAATATGTTCTTTTCTTCTTACCACACCTCTTCCTTCCTTCTTATGGAATAAAACATTAAAATTGAAGTTCAAAAGGCAACAAAAACTAGTGTTTGAAAAATATTAACACTTCGAATTTTTAAATGATCAATGAAATATTATCTTAAATATTTAATTTTCTTTATTTTCTATTATGAAAGTTACATTTGTGAAATTTATTTATGTGTTTGAAAAACTACATCTAAATTTTTTGAAGGCTAAATCAATTAATCTTTTGACATTAAAAATAAGGAACCCTATCAATATTTGAAGTTTTATTACCATAAAGTAATATCTTGAAATAGTGGTAATCTAATTCAATTGAACAAAATATGAAAACAACTTAATGTGATTTTTTTTTTTTTTTTTTCTTTTTTTTGGACAAGTTTAGGAGTTTTTGACCATATAAAATTTGAGAAGGTCAAATTATTCTGACCCGTAGATGAATTGCGACATGAAGTAATTATTTTACATTCAAATTGTATGATTTGTATTTTTTTTATTAATTTTACTTTTTTATTTTTTTTTATAGGAACTAACAGCATTAGGTAACAAACACATTTTATATATAGTGATTGGTGGCGGACATCGTGCGTCTTGAAACTTGAAACAATATGTGGTGTTGGCCCTTGATCCAGATCACATCGACTTCAAGGCCATGCTGAATGTATGGACTTTGCGGGAAAAATAGTACATATATATCATATATAATAAAATAAACAATTGAAAAACTTCTTAGGTATAATTTAATACTAGTAAGGTTCTCATCCCCCGGCTTAAAGGTTACATATAGAGAAAAAATTCCAATACATGTCAAACGACCTCGCGCGTTAGAGATAGCCCAACTTTTGAGATCGTGTTAAAACCTAGTCTTAACACTTTATTACTTGGTTTGAGTTTGAGTGTCCATAAAAATTTATGTATGACTGTGTTTTTTTTTTTTTGTTAATATTTATAATATATATATATATATATATATTTTAAAATAATTTTTAATATTGCTCGTTAATCTTTTGATATTAAAAATAATGAACAGAATTCATATTTGAACTTTTACTAATGTGATAATATCTAATCTAATTCAATAAAAATAGAATATATTTTTTTTTCAGAAAACAACTTAATATGATTTTGTTTTGCATTTTTCGACCATATAAAAAATTGAGGAGCTCTAATCATTGTGCCTTGTATTGTTGTTGTATGACATCATATATATATATATATTCAATAGCAACACCAAACATTACTACATAACAAGACACCTAAAAACTTTTCTACACACTCAGAAGTAGGGGTGGCAATTCGTGTTAGCGTGTCGTGTTCGTGTCGACATGATTATGACATGAACACGATTATGGTCGACACGAACACGATACCATTATTAATCGTGTCTAAGACCCTTGACAAGAACACGATATGATTATTACATATGTAACACGACACGACACACGTAACCTGTTTATTAAATGGGTCAAGACTTGACACGACACGAAAAAACACGTTTAATTCATTTTTGATACGAACACGACATGTTTATCCTACATGTTTAACTCAATGAGTCCTTTTTTACACGAACACGACACATTTATCTAATACGTTTAGTTAATCAGGTTAATCGTGTCATAATCGTGTTTACAAGGTCAAACGCGAACACGACACATTTAGTTAGCAGGTTAATCCGTGTCAATATGATTACGACATAAACACGATTAGCCCAAACCCAAACCCTCTTATCTCATGTCTTGTTAGTGTGTTGTGTCAAATATTGACACCCCTACCTTAAAACAAAGACTTGGAATCTTGAAGGATCAATGCCAAAGCTTATTCTGCTGTATAGAATTTTAGAGTTCTTTGACTGAATAGATGGAATTAAACCGAACTATAAAATCTTTTTACTTTTTTCCCTACAAAAAATGGAGAAGCTAAGAAGGAAAAGAAAGATTAGAGGCTATGGTTTGAAAAGGCCATTTGGGCAAGAATCCCAAACAAAATCAAAGAGGTTGTTTCTCATAGCTCGATGGGCCGGTTTGTTTGAAGATCTTGGAGCCTAGATAAGGTTGAGGCCAAGATGGGCCTTTAAGTGGGATTGGATGTCATTAATGATAACCTATGAAGCACGGACACCCCTCCTAGGAGTCCCGTACCAGTGTCGGACATGTATTCGACACGGATACGCATATCCGAGGCTCAGACACGTGCCCGAACTTCTGTGAAATATCCAGAATTTATGTTTTATTAGACACAGGGTGGACAAGGATGAGACACGCGGATGACACATATTGGACACGGTGGGGTATATTTTGTAATTTCTTTTAAGAAAAATGGGATACCTAATGTAATTTTAAAAATTTAAAAGTAAAATTTTGAAAAAATTAAAAAACAACTACACAGTAAATTTAGTTGCACTAAACAAACAAGCTTGTGCCTTAGACCCAAAATTCCCAAATCCTTCATTCCTTCGCAATTGCCCCAAAGGTGATTCCTCTATTCGGAGTCGACTATGAGCTCAGTAACTTTCCACCAGATTTTTCGTCAAATTTTTTGTCTCTCCGGTGTCTACTACGGCGACTCCACCAAGTAGGTTTCTTTTCTCTCACGTCCTCTTTCCTCCTTTTCAACTATCTCTGTACATATTTGGAACATTATGGCTACGTCTCTTCTGCACATCTTCGTTTGGATCAACTCTATTTTTCATTTGTTTTTTGTTTTATCTTGTCTATGTTTTTCTTATAAGAGAGATGCAATTAATGAAATTGGTCCTTAGACTCTTTTGTCTCTGAACTTTTACTTTTTATTAAAATTTATGATTCCATTATGTTTATTTTTTTATTTGATTCATTCATATCAGTACTGGAATTAAATAAACTTTTAGATCACAACAAGAAAAATAGAGAGAAATCAGAACAATTATATTTGTGGATGTGTGTAAAATGTAAACTTTAAAGATATAGAAGCTCACCCACATGTGGCCTGTGGTTGTTTGATTGACTGTTATTTGTTGTTGTTTTATTTGAAATTTTGTATTTATATATATCTGTTTGTTATTTGAAAAATGTGATACCCCTCGATTCTAGAGTCACGGGTGATCAAGTCCGAGCACAAATCCGAGGGATATTGTGATACTCCCAGATTCCCGAATGCGGGTTGGCCAGGCTCACGCCCGAATGCCCGAGGATATCAAAACAAATTGATAATAAACGAACACAGAGTACAAAAGAATAAAGAAGAATAAATGAAATGCTGATAAGAAACTAAAATGATAATCTAATAATAAACCTCAAAATATATTTCCATTAATTAATAAACTTTTCTGATACAACTGATCCTCCAAAATACAACTCGGGAATCCATACTGTGTGGACCCCTAGAAAATCCGAACTAAACAAATGATAGCAATAACTGTCTAAATCAGGAAACTGAATCATAAAGGAACTCTTATGTAGCATCGGAAGAATGAAGTAGACTGATCCCTGCTCAGCACGAACAACCTCTACTTCTGACGAACACCTGAAAAATAAAGGTGGGTCAGGCCCACAAATAAGTTCTACTCTACTACAGTCCAAGCAGAGATCCGATACACGTATACATCCTAGTCAATCCAACAGTAACTAGTAGTCCGTATATATATATATATATATATATATACACACACACACTAAAGGAACCTCACTAGACTATAGGGTTGTCTCAACCTGAATAGTAGGCAACATGTAAAACGCACATATAGTGAGCATAAGTACCTAGACCTACCAGGGTACACAACTACACTATATCTAGCTACACATCCCTGGCGATATACGCACCCTAACCACTGATCCTGAGACTCAAGCTCATATCATGGCACCATACTTATATATATATAATCTAGTAACCATCCTATTCAGTATAAATCAATCATCCATAAGTCATTCAACTTGTTCAGCTGACCTGACTTGAATATAAGTAGGACTTAACATTTTAGTTAATCCATTCCCTCATATAATAAATTAATCCTCTATAAGTCATTCAACTTGTTCAGCTGACCTGACTTGAGTATAAGTAGGACTTAACATTTTAGTTAATCCATTCCCTTATATAAAATACGTAGGACTTAACTGATAAGTTAATCCGTCCCTAGAATGCCACCGTCCCATACCGGTGCATTAAACCACACAATCCAACAATTAATGTAACGATTAAGGAAATACATCAAATAATCCAGAAATAACTATGATAATATGATATCAAGTTATCACAAA